TGAGTCTCAGCCGCAGATTTCTTCATATTGAAGCAAAAAATTAAAACCTCCCGCAAATGACGAGAATTTGGCTCGTAAACTGACATTTTCAATCGAGAATAACTTTATGATGCGGACACAAATCGACTAATGTTTCTATGGGGTTATGTTGACAAATGCCCAAGTTTATTGTATGACGTCTATGATCTATTTATTTCGACCACCACTTACCGTTAAAGCCATCTATAGGAAAACGGCGGAAGCAAAGTTGTACCTAATATATCAACTTTGCAGAGAATTGAAACGTGTCCTGGCACTGATTCCATTGTATGCCCAGAATACATGAGCATTATCTCTGATAATGACCGGCAAACGATCACGATTATTTGTTTCTAATAATTCAAGGCAATTCGAGGCCCATTTGCTTAATTCGAATGCTCTTAATTTTAATAGTTGAATAGTTTCATCACGAATTAGTTTCAATTTGTCGATTGTATCTGGTGAGCATGTCATCGACATAAAAAGAAGGACGCATGCTGAACCGCGAGTGAATTGATGAGCGTGCTGCTCGGCCAAATGCTTAAGGCATCAAAGCATAGCTTGTTCGCTATTAGATGATTCTAAAGCATAATTCGATAGGAGGGAGGGAGGAGGAATTGCCTTAGGTGCAATTTCCTTATCGGTATTGCTAGTCGATGGGTCCGCGGCAGAGGGTATATGAAGTAACGTATTGTGTTTCGCCTGGCAGACCTTGCATTGACCGGAAGTGTATTTACTTGATGCATGAGAAGAAAAGCGCAAGCAATTGACGCAAAGTTTGCGACTGCGAATTTCCGCGAGTCTTTGTGATATTGGAAGTGCCACGAAATTTTTGCAATAATAAATAACGTGTTCTTCTTGACAGAAATTGCATTTAGGTTTAACAGTGGCCGCGCACGATGATCGCTTAGCATTTGGCTGCAATTTTGCCTCGACCTTCCTTGCGGAAGTGGAGCCAGCCCACTGATAAGCTTGAGCACCTGACATCGATGAGCGATAAAATCTAACAGCTGCTTAAGCGATGGCAGCTTGTTGCTCGCTAATGAGGTTCGTCACTCGAGTAAGTGAATCAAATTTTGAGGTTAGAAGGTGAACGAGAAGATCGTCCCAATGCATCGTGGGACGCTTCAATGTCTGAAGGGCGTGCAAATGTTTTGTGACGCTAGAGAGTCTTCGGAGCTCGACTACATTTTCCCTTGTCATAGTCGGCAAATCGAATATAGCACTGACGTGAGTTTGAACAATTACGCGCTTGTTGTCATATCGCTCCTTGTGAATTGACCATGCGACATCGTAATTAGCGTCCGACAATTCCAATGAACTGACTACAGCACTTGCATCACCGGTGAGTGACGCTCGTAAATACTGAAATCTTTGCGTATTTGAGAGCGAGGTGTTGGAATGGATAACCGAGTTGAAAGTGTTGAAAAACGGGAACCATTCATCATATTGCCGGAAAATGTCGGTAAATTTAGCTTAGGCAACCAAATGTGCGTACTACTATCTGATTCGCGAACACTTGAGAAGGACGGAGAAAAGATGGACGCTCGGCGAAGGGGAAATGAGCTCGCGGATTCTACCGGATAACAGCATAGAATACTTCCTCGATACCGTCTCGATCGCAGGATCATCTAATAATTCTAGACGCGATTGAACATCGTTATATTCCGTCTGATATAGCTCGAGTTTCGCTTTCCGCTCTTCGAGTTGAGCCACTGTTGACAGGCTAATAGCGGCGATTGAGTCTACATAAGTTCTGATACGCGTACATGATGCCTTTATAATCGCGCGCTGTCGCTTAAGTATCGGCGCTTCTGATTGGTCGACTATTTTGAATGTGAATGCGCACGCATATACGCATATACGCGGCGGAGGAACTTAGTTGGCAATGGAGACAATGGTCTTCCTTACCGTGTTACGCACGCAATTAATCCTAGGAAAGGATGCAATAGATGCTAGATGCCTTCCAGTCAAACGTTATTGGATGGAAATGTTCCTCTCGCAGATAATGCGTCGTTGAGGGATGACTTCCGTTGCAATGATGATCTTCCACGAGACGAGTCGCGTGCAGAAGACGAAAAAAACAGTTTGTTTTGTTGTCAAGACGATCTGATATTATTTTTTTTAATCGATTACGCATGCATCGTTCAGCAATCGACATCTCGTGAATTCATCGATTTTTCATAGATGCGATTAGGCGATATAATTAGAGATCGTGAATCACAGAGATACCGAACAGTACTTTATTTTACTATCAATCCATCATATTCTTTGCCCCAACGTGCTAGTAAATAAAAAGATAAAAAAACAACTTATTATGAAAACTAAGTCAAAAAAAGATAAAGGAAAAAAAGGATGACAGACTATTGTCGCGCTCTTTCTTTTTCTAACATACGAGCCCTTGTTACTTAAGCATTCTTTTATAATGTTTAGAATTCTATAATTCTATAAACTGCAAGCATTTATTTATCTTAAGTGTTTAATTTCTTCCATAAGTATTTTCTGTGCAGCACAAAAGTAAAACGTATTCTAGGCAGCATTACTGTGGCAAATGCTTCTCGGCATCAGTCTTTGCCAAGTTTTGTCTGCGCGACAGTATAACACAATTGAGACGCTATTGATTGAGAGTAGAATCTGATCGGTTCGTTATTGAGGTCTAATAATCTCAATCCCTCGCAACTCGCGGTCTCGCATAAAAAGTAGCCATAGTAGTGTCGTTGCATGGCTTAGCGCCGAGTCTTATCAAGTGTAATACTTACGATAAGCAGTGCATTGTAGTATACTATGAGAGATTTTTTAAATTCATAAACTGCAAAAAAATATTCCGCCATTTAGCGACTTACGTGACAATTTGTGTGTAACTAAGAAAAAAAAAGACATGGAAATTCACGAGCCTCCGTGTAAAAAAATAAAATTGATTGAGGGGCAGGAGAACGTCCTCATCGAAAAGAACATCCACATGAAAAAGGATGTCGTCCTAGGTGAAGATGAGGACAAGGATTCTGTCAAGAAGAAAATGTTGTGTATATGGATGTCGATCAGCCCGTACATTTCAACAACGTTGATGCAGATGAATGTGTCGCATTCATGATGATGCTCCTCTATCTACATGACGAGGTGGAACTTCTTCGCGGAGATAAAGAAGGAGAAGAAAGAAGAAACTGAGGAGTAAGCGAAGTGGAAAGAAGGAGGAGGAGGAGAGAGAAGGGTAGAAGAGGAGGGGGAGGCGAAGAAGAAAGAGGAGGAGGAAGAAGAGGAAAAAGAGGAAGCTGAAGAGGAAAAAGTAAAATTTATTTTATATAATTTATTATTATATAATTTATTATAATTTTTTAGGCTCTCTCCTCGCCTACCGAGTATCCCCCACGCTCCTCTCAGAGAACCTGTGTTAGAATCTCCCTAATATACCTATTTTTCTCGTCGCAGGAAACTCCATATGGCAGTTAAATAACTTCATTCTTTAAGATTTATTTTATTGTAGACGTAATTATCGTCAACAGATTATGTCATACAATTTGAACAATTTTGTCTCGAATGTTCTCGGTTGCGTCAAAATCTTCAAAACTTTAAGTGACAAGGATCAGAATCGAAGTCAGAAGCGAAAATTATTGCATGCGCCTAACGGTTCTGCTATCCTCACATTAACGAATTCGTGCGAAATTCCGCGAATTATGCCGAGAGCCATCACCGTCTTAAATGCTGCCCCTCATCCCTCTTTATACGTATATATAAAGGGAATTTTCCGAAGGAACAACACAATATCAGTGTACTCCTTGCCCTGATGAAACAAACTCCATAGTTTGTTTTTCAATGAAAAGTTGACATTAGCAATGGATGAAAACACAGCGATAACCTGCAAACCTTCTGGTATCTTTGAAAATAATATCGGTGAAAGTCTAAAAAAAAAGCGTAATTGTGCAATTTATTTTAATATATAAAATTTTACTGTTATACTGTAAATAGTGAAAGAAAAGAAAATTAGATAGCGAATTGCTAATTTAAAAAAAAATAAAATAATCAATGATGAGCCAATTCTAAATTTATTAAACGTTTTTATAATAAATCACCTTCCGTAGTTTGATTTCAATATATCCACAAGAGTTGATAATATAATATAATAAGAAATACATATATATTCGCTTGTATTATGCAATGCAAATTAAACTGTATTACAATAATGTATTATTCAACAGCTTCAATATTTAACAAATAAATTAAGGAAAAATTTCCATTTTGAAATAATACAGCATATTTTTTTGTGAAAATAACTGTCATATATTATAAATCATATAAATTACAGACGTTTTGACATCATTATTGTGCCCTCTGCAAATGTAGAAATACATATTCTAGATATAATAAGCGTCCCAATAAAATAAAATAATGTTGTCAGAAATAAAAAGTTGTCTGAATAAACGTATTATTCACGGTCAATAATCCAGCCAAATTAGCCGACAATTTAGAAATAATTATATATGATTGTATAATGTCTCTACAATAAAGTTCATATAAATGTATGTTTCGATCATATGTCCTTCTTAGAGATAAAGCGTGAGCATGACATAGCAAACGGCGCATTGGTCTATCATGCTAGAGATCTATCATGCTCCCGGATTCGATCCCAGTAGGAACCAAAATATTTACGCTCGTGTCTTCTCTCGGAAAAGGCCGACAACCTCCCAAGAGTATCCTTATCAGAAATATTTCTTGAAAAATCCACCGTTCGAAACTGGTATTAAAAAACTGTAAGTCTCATATGCTCGTGATAAATAAATAAGCTTATGAAAGAAGTATAACACAGGCCAGAGGCGTAAGGTAAGAAGAAGAAAATCCTTTTTCAGCTATAGTTAAATTGGTAAATATTAGTTTTAGGTGACATCGATTTCAATGTCTTTTAGACGTTGTAGAAAAGTGTTCTGAGTAATTCCCCTCAAAAATTAAGTGGGAAACGGCATTGGCTTAGAAGATATAACAAATTAAAGTTCCATAATAAAATCATAACATACGACTTTCCACGCAAAACGATTTTTACTCTATCTTCCTTTTCCCTATTTCAGGGCGCCCAACTTCTACGAAGTAATTCCCACCTCCCCTCCCCCATGTTTAGGAACGCACTACTATTCAAAGAAATATGATCAATCTCGAAAAATCGCGCAAGGGGGGAGATGGGATGGGAGGTCGCTTTGCGTGGAAGTCGTACACTCCCAAGCAAGGGAGGCGGAGTAGGAGTTACTTCATGCGCCTTTAAACAGAGAAGGAGGGTGAGAATCACATTCCATATGCCAATGTTGTTCTCTGTATATTATAGAACTTTTATTTACTATGTCTCCTAAACCAACTATGCCGTCCTTCACTTAATTTTTATGGGAAATTACTCACTCTTCTCTACAACATATCTAAAGGACATTAAAATCGGTAAGGAATTACTTAAAACAGATATTTATTGTTAAATTAATTAATTGCATTTAAATTTAAATTTGTTAATCTATACGTCTGTTTAATTCTTTGTGTTTAGTATTTTACATACTGTATATTCTTGATCTTTCTTTAGCGTCCTGTTTCCAAATTTATATGTTCTTTCGTTATCTATCATTAAGAAACAATTAATTTAGACTTGTCAGTAGGGAGACATGTCAGTGATAATACTGATAATCGAAATCAAATGTTAAAATATATTAGATGCATGAAGATAGAAAAAATATTCAGTACAACGAAAAATATATATAAGTGAACTCTTATATATTTTTATAAAGAATATTGAGTTAATTTTAAAAATAATGTGGTTTGGATAATCCAATTAATTTTTAATTTACGTTTGGAATTCTCCAATTGTTCCAATATTAACGAATTTAAATAAATGTCTAACATGAGGAACAAACTGAAAGGTACGTTTAGATCGTGACATTTAATTGTTATTGTTAGAAATAGAATTTAATAAATAATAATATGACTTATCGAGACATTCCGTATCTTTTTGAGAATTGATTGTTTGTTCTTTTATATGGAGTATCTCTGAAATTGTTCGTTTGTTATTATAATTATCTTCAATGGCTAAGATGTTTGTTCCTTCCCAATTAAATGAATCATTTTTAATTAAGTATTCCATGATAATGAAGTGTGAATGAACTCGATAAACATATATATAATACTCCTATATTGCTAACGGAATTTCTTTTTGAGAGTGGGGGGGAGAGGTGACAACATAATGAGATAGAAAATCGACTCGCTTACAATTCTCGCTTCTACAATTTGTGTACTTTGAATGTGCATGCATGAGCCTGTATACGCATTCAGAATATGTGTATTGTAGTGCTTAAATATTATAATCTATAACACTGAGATACTATTAAAGATTATTAATCCTGGACAAATTTTCGGAGGTACAAGAAGAGCCCCAAAGGTCCGGAGGTAATTGAAGAATGTTGACATTATCGACAATTGATATAAATTTGCTATTATTAACATAAAGCATTTAGCTCATATATTATTAAATTCGTGATTTTTTGTTACATAAATGTTTTATTCCATAAATAAATACTTGTAAAATGCATATTTGTAAAATTACAATATTCTATATGTTGCAGAAAAATTACAATATATTTTTTCTTTGCAATTATCATCTCTGTTGATAATTAAATTTTGACAATAACACTAAAATTATAATTTTAAAGAAAAATCATATTATTGAATTCTAAATGCATAAATACATCTACTAAACTAATAAATCATAAAATTAGTACAATATTATCAGTTTTTTATTCTTAATCACTTCTTAATCACACAATATTCACAAAGACGCAAACGTAAAGACTCCCGTAAGAATATCTTTAATAGTGTCTCGTCGATGATATTAAATATCACAATATTGTATGATTAAAAATAAACAACTTCAACGTTTAAATTCATACTAAAAACTAGCGTTGATTTTTATTTTATTACATAATTTTGATTTATATTATACTTAAAACCATTCGAATATATTCATGGGAAGGACGTGATCAGAGGAATGACTCGAAAAAAAGAGACACATTGCTTGCAGATATAAACGATATAAAACTCCATTTAATTTAGATATATGTACGGTTAAATCCTTTTCTTTCTCAATCTTCCTGAACATCTCCCCGCGCTTGCTTCTCCTTTTTTGCTCATCGTTGTCGTCGCGCCACCTCTTTCTCTGCGCCATCTTCTTTCACCGTGTCATTATCAGCTGCGTTTCTCCGGATAAGCTTGTTTAAGTTCTTTATTCGCGATCAGTTCAAAGTCGGATTTGGTTTCCCATACTCGCTTTTCCCTCCTACGATTCATCCGACTCGGATGATAGTTTGAAATCTCTCCAACATTTAAGATATTCGACACAAGTAATAGTGATTTTGGGATCTTTCTGAACTCCTTTATGTACGACATTATAATTGTTGTTAGATTTGTTCTTTGTTATTTGATAGGGTATTTCGATTTTAATTTGAGTCCTGCTCCGAGTTGTCTTTTTCATTTCGATTCCGACATGATATAGATGAATTGATTTGTTAAAGCTCCTCTGATTCTCGTTCTGAACTTTTATGATTTAGACTCGAGTCTATTCTCGTACAGCGTCCCTATCCGTATTGAAATATTCCACGACCTCGCCTTTCAAAAGATCAGCTATATTTTATGGTCTTGTCATGCATCCATATCCGGTTAGAAGTTCGAACGGAACTGCTTAATGCTTCGTTGATGACATTAGCTCTTTGTACATGCTACCATTTCGCGTAAGGTTGCACGAGACTAAAATGAGACGATTTGTAACGAATTTGTAAAAATATTTTATTGATATTGAAAATTTTCGAAAATTTTAATCTTGTCAATATGAACAAGTTATAATTAGGTGTACTAAATAATATTATTACGTCCTATAGATGCCACGATTTTTTTCTTTCGAAAGAATCGGCTCCACATCGCAACTATGATTGGCGTCTATAAGACTCGAGTGGAATTCTCTGATAACGATCTGACAGAAAAGAGGGCAAGCTTCGCGAAAACTCGTAAACGCCTATTAATCTGGAAGGAATAACAATTTTAATGCAGGCCCGAAAAGTGACAGGAAAAGATATTATAAATGCACCGAAGTCAATAGTAAAAATCCAAGTTTTGTCGTCCCAGATTGACCAACAATTTCATCTTAAGAAAACAGCCTCGCGCTTAAAAAATCATAAAAAACATGGGATAACTTCCCATGTAGCGTTATCTAAGATCGTACTCGCAACAGACAATGGTTGCCCTGCACGTAAAACTAGATGTGCACAATAACCGTCTGTTTACCTAGTCATATTTTCTGCGAGGATAACAAAATTCATCATCCGTCTGGAGCAATTTTGCTTTTTTAAAAAAAAAAACGTAAATTATTTCTTTTCTTCTCGAAATTCCTCTAATGTTGCATTTTAAATTAACAATGATAGGACGCTATAAAAATCACAAATCTCACATGACATTGCTACTAACTATTGCATCCTAGACTATGCCCTTCTTTCGGGGCATAAATAGAGGCGTGGAAGCGCAGAGCAGTACGGAAATCAACTTATCTCGGTTCATGTTAGTGCAGTCAGCGAAAACTCGCTTTAGTAGACCCGTTCACTCCAGTTCGCGTATTTTTATGCAAACGCATCAAAATTTTGGGCAAAATTATTATTGGGATCACCCAGTCACTGGCCACTGCGAATATCCTCCTGGCGCTCTTGCGTGGACAGCGGACTTCCTCATTTTCGTCGATCTGAGATCTTATGGATCAAGCAGCTAAACAGTAAGTCGGCCTGCCATCCGGTCATCTCCCCGTATAAAAACACACACACACACACACACACACAC